GTTGCTGCAGCCCGTGAGGTTGCGGCAATCCCGTTTGTAAGCCAGTAGTATCAAAATAAAAAAAAATCTTACAGTAAAAGAAACTGCACTGTTTTCACTTGGAACGATTGTCAACTCTTTAGTAATGATATCCTCTGGCAAACTTCGAGTTTTTAGGTCAGTGCTCAGCCAAAAAGTACAGACATGGCCTATGCAAACTGATTACACATGCCATTTTCTAGCTGCGATGACGTTGTTTAATTGTTATCCTTATGGACGCATGGTCTTTACAACAACAGAGTAAACAGCAACTGTTTTATCTGTAAAGATTAACAGTGGTTTGCTATGCGCCACTTAACGATCTTTTTAAGGGCTAGATCCGATTCTATGACACGCAAAATTTTGTTTTTTTGACATTGAAAACAATTCTAGGCAATGAATTGAAACGACAGAAAACTGAACGGAGCTCTTGCATAAAAGTGAAAGGAAAACATGTACAAATAACTAGTTAAAATATCCCATCTTTACCCTGCAAGTATTTTAATACTCTTATTAACCTTGCAAATGGTTAATTAACCTGAAGCGGTAAGTATAGACAACAAACTTTTATTTCAAGCCAACTAGAGTAGTTACTATTTACCTTCCAAAACCAGACGATCACGTGATGTTTATCGCCGTAATCCCCTCGGTAATTTGTGTTTCTACGCCAATCATTGATGTCAATCTCCCCCAAGCCACACATGAGGAGCTAACAGGAGAAAGAATTATACAAGATTACAACAAAGCAAATAAAGCGGTTTTCAATTGAGTATCGAAAGTAATCAGGCAATTACTTTGGCTTTGGTTTTGGTTTTACTACGGTTAGAGATTGGCTGAGTAGTCTAATTGGTATGTAAGTAATTGGTTTGGTTTTGGTTTTGGTTTTAAGATACTCAGTTGAAAAGCACTCTAAGGTATGAGACGTTTCTTTTAATCAAGAGCACGAATGGAAGGTGGCGAAACACCAAGAGAGTCCTTCTGTTTCTCCTACCACTTCCCGGCTAGCTAGCTAGGTCAAGCCGTTTCTAAGCTAACTGGTGCAATACCATGGTTTATCAGAGCGTCCGGGTTGGACCATACGATATATAACGCTCATTAATATCCACTCTTAACTTACCTCCAGTTCCCTTTCGTCGAATATTTGAATCAAGTTGTGTGGTATGAGTTCCCCAAAGCCCTGGAAAGAACAGAATCATTTAGTTCGAAGAGCTGGGGGCAGCAATCAATTCTATGCACAGAACTAAGTGCGAACAGAACTAAACCACTGACATCCTGCACATTTAGAGCCTAGCTACTGAATGGCTTTAAGGTTTCAATTGAATGCAACGTAGATCTAACCACCACGTCCGTAGAGGGAAAACAAAGTTGTACTTACTTTACGATGGGTCTGGGTTGGTAACATAACCATAATTTGTTTTATGTTATATATGGGATCACTGAGACCCTCACCTCCATAAATTTCTTCATCTGGTCCTCGACGCGGCTTACAAATCTCCACTTAATTACAAGGCTGTAAAGAAAATCACATAACATAATACGGCAACTGTTTTCTTAAGAAGGTACTGTCTCAATAGCCAACCTTTCGTCTCTAT